CTCTAATTTCAGTATCCTGAGGATGGAAACGACGGAACGGAGGAGACATTTGATATTCACGTCTCTGTGTTCAAGAGCAGTCTCACAGCTCACGACTTTAAATGCTCATTTACAGCCATAGTAACTAAAATAATCATACAGCAACTTGTTATTTTTGGACAGTAAAAGTAATGACGTAGGTAGAAAGGACGTGTCATATCTACAACGGGCACTTCACTCACCTGGTTCACTCACCTGGTGGGGTTCCCAATCTCACGTCTGCAGACAGGAAGGAGTAGGCAGGGATACAGTAGGAACCCGCAGACACAAGGCGCACCAGTAGTTGCTACTACCGGAGTGGAGCGCCTGCACATATGTTTGCGCGAAAACAGGCATGGTTCAAGATGCAAACAAGAGTAGTTATGTTGTACATAATTGATGCAGGAGAAAGACAAAGTCAATGCTACTTTAAATGTGTCCATGGTACAGTGCATTTCGCAAGACGGAGAACAAAACAAGGCGGTTAGTGAAAGTCATACAGAGCGTCGCCTAGGGCTTCCGCCAGCAAACCCTTAAAGGTTTTGTAGTTAGGTTCCATTACGACGTGCTCCGGGAGGGAGTTCCATAGTCTCACACCGCGCACCGAGAATGACCTACGCCTGACATCAGTCTGCGAGCGGGGATGGAAAATCTTAAAGCAATGTCCGCGCATGCCTAACTGAGGAGGTAGAGTGAACAAGTCAGCGGGGGACACCGCACATTTGTCATGGAACACCTTCCAGTACTGAATCATATCAGCCCTTAGCAGTCTGCCTTGAATTGAATACAAGTTCAGCGATGAGAGCCGGGACCGATAATCCAGACTCGACAGGCCAGCGATATGCTTGGTCCAGCGACGCTGGACCGACTCCAGAGCGCGCAGGTCCCCCAGGTACCCAGTGTGCCACACACACGAGCAGTACTCGATAACTGGTCTTATGTGAGTACGGAAAAGTGTCAGCATAAAGTCCGGAGATCGGCACACCGTGCTCCTCAGGAGGTTTTGAGAAAGACCTGCGGCCTTGTGGACAGTAGCGGATATGTGGTCGTGGAATTTGAGGCTCGAGTCCACCAGTACTCCGAGATCCGGATGGGAAGGGACAACTCGAATCGGGGAATTATCGATGTCATACGCTGGAGGTGGAAGAGATTGAGATTGAGCCTTGCTCTGAAAACGTATGACCACACATTTGTCACGGTTCAGGCGAAGGTCCCATGACGAAGAAATACGGTGCAGGGCAGTGATGTCCTGTTGACAAAGCGAGGAGGCATGGTCATAAGCGTCTGCTGAGCTGTGGGCAACTTTCATGTAAAGCTTCAGATCGTCAGCGAAAATCTTGTGACTAGATGCGAGACTGCTACCAATATGGTTAATAAAAACTAAAAACAAAATCGGACCAAGAACCGAGCCCTGTGGGACCCCACTGGACACGGGGCGAGTTTTGCTCAGTACACCTTTCACTGACACAGACAGAGATCGACCAATCAGAAAATCTTCAATCCAGTAGATGAGGGGCTCAGCAATGCCGATCATGCGAAGCTTGCGAAGAAGGATAGAGTGAGAGACAACATCAAATGCTTTGGCAAAGTCAAACATCACGAGGTCAGTAACACAGCCATCATCAAGCCATTTAGACACCTCGTCATATACAAGGATCAGCTGATCCTGAGTGGATCTCCCGGCTCTGAAACCGAATTGGTTATTTGTCAGCATAGAGTTCTCTTCCAGGTAGGTTGTAAGCTGCTGGCAGATCAGGCGCTCTAGACATTTGCAAGACACCGAAGTCAAGCTGATGGGACGATAGTTCAGGGGGTTATACCTCGAGCCCTTCTTGAATAAAGGAATTACGACGGATATCTTCCAAGAAGCAGGTAAGCGACGTTCTCTGAGTGACTGTCTGAAAATAACAAACAAGGGAAATGCTAGGCTGTTTGCACAAGCTCGTAAGAGTGATGGGTGAAGGTTGTCTGGGCCAGCAGCTGAGTGGGGGTCCAGTGATCGCAGCACTGCAAGAACCTCGTCAACAGAGAAGTCAACGGGTGGCATAACAGAGTCCGCTGTTTCGTGAGGGGACTGGTTAGGGTTGGGGGGACCGCGGCCGAAGACGCTCTCAAAGGCCTCAGCAAAGGCTTCAGCCATTGTAGCAGGGTCATCTGAAAGCGTGTCATTGCAAAGTCGTAAGGGACCAACGCCAGGGCAGCCTACCTTTTTACGCCTGAGATGTGCATGCAGAGCCTTAGGGTTAGAGGCAGACTCCTGGAGCAGTTTCTGTTCGTAGCACGCCTGGGACTCCAGGGCAAACCTTTTCAGAGAGCGATTGAGGGTGAAGAAAGTATCGAGTGCTGATATGGCCGCTGCAGATCGCCTGCCATGGGTAAGTCTCATCTTTTTGTACGTCTCCCATGCGTGTCTCCTCCGGTGTCTGAGGCTGCCAGGGGGGTTTGTCCTCCATGGGGGACGGGTGTTGTCAGCAGAGGAAGTTCCTGTAGGGACAAAATCGTCGATAAGAGGCGACAGTCTGTCCAGGAAGCGGGTGTACATCTGGTTGACATCGCAGCCTGTAAATTCAGCGCTCCAGTCAATAACGTTCAGTTCGCGGGAGATGCGATCAAATTTCGCCCTGTGCCACTTCCTGAACTGAGTGCTAGATTGGGACGTTGGGGGTGAATAGTCAAACACATAGTTACAAAGCACCGGGCAGTGATCGCAGCCCGGCAGGGGCGGAAGTACCGAAGAAGTACCCATCCTGTCAGTTTCAGTTGTAAGCACAAGATCGAGTGTGCTTCCAGAGCGGGGGTAAGTGGGGACACAGATCCATTGAGTTAATCCAAGCGACATGAAGGTGTCATAGAAATCAGTGTCACAGCCTGACGCGCGAGATAAGGGGCTGCTGGAGTCCCACGCGAGGGACGGGAGATTGAAGTCCCCCATGAGCACGACTTCACGGTCTGCACAAAAAGAAATGAGAAAATCCAAGAGATGCTGATTGGCTTCAGGCTCCGACGACGGGGGGCGGTAGACTGCAACAATATGTACACTGAACTCTGGCAATACAATGGCGACAGTGTTAGGACAATCAGTTTCAATTTGTTCGAACTTCAAGCAATTTTTAACATAGATACAAACACCGTGCTTGGCAAAAGAGCCTTCAGTATCTTTTCTGACCACTCTGAAGCCAGGAATGTCGATAAATGAATCTGGCATAGAGCTGAGGAGATGAGATTCCGTTATACACATGATATGGACACTGTGACACAGTATAAAATCTTGCACCACCGGCAGCTTACGGACTAGCGAGTTCACATTAGACTGACTTATGTTAAGGACGAATGTGCTGCGGCTGTAGGAACTGGTAGTCAAAGCTACACGCATGACTCAGGGTCAGGCACATCATTGTTGTTGGAGTTGTTAGGGTGGTCATCAGAGGGCGGGGCAGCAGGGGCCGGGGGGTTGTCATCCTGGGTGTCCTGGTTCCCGTCCCTGACACGAGCTGGTTGAACACTCGTGTTGACAGCTGTTGACTTCAAAAACTTACTCACGTAGTTTCATATTATCCTTGTAGAGATAATATGAAACTACGATCACAAAGGCATAATGTCACCACGACCCGTGGTCGCTCTGTTTCATGGAAATAGTGACGCCCAACCACAGGCTGGTACTGCGAGTATATAATCAGGCGGTGTTTTACAATAACCCGTCTTCCGAGACTTGGCTGACCTTGTGTCATATCTGGACACGAACGGCTTTTTAGCGGCATCGCACCTCGCATGTGGCCGATGCGGTGGCGTTGTAGGTATGCAGATGTTCTGAGCTTGGCTCAGCACATCTTGCTCGGCTCGGTGGCACAGCGTGGCTCGCAATATTGGGGTCAAGGTATCCATTTATGAGGCTGATCTTGAAGCCGGTAGATAGCGATCAGCGGCACTTCTTGCTGATTACTTTTATGGGGCGGAAAGCCTAACTTGGTTAGTGACTGACCAGAATTTACAAAATAGGGCTATATAACTACTAAACAGACACACAGTGTTTGTGTCGTCATTTTATATTTTAGGTCTCGTTTAGGAGGTCTCGTTCCCAAAATCTCGGTCCTGCACGTACTTACATATATTGGGGAGAGGGGTGTGCCTGGCACGTGCCTGACCAACAATGCCACCAGCGCAGCACTGCGTGCGAGCTGGTCATAACGGCCCTGACGTCATCCTGTCAGCCCTCGGAACATTTAAATCTGGCTCGTTAAGCCGGCTGCGATGGACGATAAATCCGTCGGCCTTTGTCGGGCCCTGCAAACGTAGCTGCTGGTCCGAGGCCTACCTGTTGCTTTATCTCGCATCCGCTGTTGGCGGTTGGTCTTTGTTGGAGGCCGGTTTCCGCCGCGCCAGAACGGGGCACGATCACGCTGCCCCGGCCCACGAGACGTGCATTGTTGCGTCATAGGTGTCTCGACGTCAGGTGGGAAAAACGTGCCCGCGGCCCTTCTCGTGGCTTCGTCACGTGCGCGCGCGGGAGCTCCGCTCATACGTGACTGCGCAGCGAGGTCAGGGTCGGAGTCTGTTCTGTTCCGTGCAGATGGGATCAGTCCCAGCGCCTGCGGTCGGGTGAGCTGTGTCACCCGAGCATGGGAATGTGACTGTCCTGAGTGAAGACGTTGTCGTTTTCGGCACAAGTGGGATGGAGTTCGATGAGAGACGACGATAAAAAAAACACTAAAATGCATAGCAAATATGTGGAAGGGAACATACACTGTTTTAATCAGTGAATATTCTAGAATTGATACATCAATTATTCGACCATTGCCCGACTGTGTTATATACCTATAAACTGTGTTAACTATTCCAGCAAGAACATCAGTCTTTAGGTAATAGTGCCTTAGTACAATTCAGTAGCCCTCTCGGTTCTCAGCTTCTCATACATAACTTTGCGGTTATCGCTCCACTCTTCTATCGCAGTCCCCACCTCACCATTCCGTCGTTCATGTCCTCAGATGACGTCAGGCTGTCTGATGCGTCACCTGCTGTTGGCGGCGGTCGTCGCATCCGCGGCGTCACTGCCCTTCGGCAACAGCGGCGGTCAGTCATCGTCACGAATCACCTTCGTCGAGAACCGCTGGTCACCGGGAACCCAGGGCAGCAGCAGGCGGCCGTCCAGCTCTCCTGGTGGCAGCGTTCAGTTCGGTAGGTACTGCCTGTGTGTCTGTCTGTCCGTCTGTTGGTGTGTGTGTCTGTCTGTCTGTCTCTCTGTCTGTCTGTCTGTCTGCCTGCCTGCCTGGCTTGCTGTCTGCCCATCGGCCTCGTCCAGTCGGTCTTTCGTCAGTCTGTCGGCGGTCTGTCTGTCGGTCTGTCGGTGTGTCTGTCTGTCTGTTTGTCTGTACGCTTTGTAAGAAGTGATGTCTAGGGGTGTGGCCATGTGTCATCTGTTGTCTGTTGTCTATAGCCTGCCACCATATATGGTTTATCTTGTAATCCGCAATTCGAAATCCGCTCGTCCGGTTGTTCATCGGTCCGCTTGCCTTCCCTCCTTTGTCCTCTGCTTATCTTTTTTGTTCCGCTCTCTGTCATCCGTGTGTCGTATTATTCTCACTATCGCCTGTCTCATCTGCGTACATTTGGGATGGGGCTGGGAGGGGCACCGATGAATATGCTAGTTAATAATAGAACTTAATGAGGTAGATGGGTGATTGCATTATGGGTCGAAGTTTCGTATTAATCGGTAACGTCGGTAACTAGCACTTCTTTGGGACAATCGCTTATCGAGGGCGCGGGGTGGGGGGTGGGGGGGGGGGGGGGGCAGGCCGTTTCCATTATCTGCTCTCCGCTGTCCACCGTCTACTGTGCACTGTCAACTGTCTATCATCTACATGCGCCCACTGTCCACCGTCCGGCGTCCACCGTCTGCCGTCCATAGTCCACCGTCCACAGTCCTGTACCGTCCACCAACCACGTCTTCGGGGCTAATTCGGTTAAAATTTACATACCTACCGTCTAATATGCTCTTGTCTTTCACCATGCATACTGCATAATGCAAGAAATGAAAGTAACGTCTATGCCGTCAATACCGCTTTCACACATTAGCTTACAGCTGCACCGCCGCCTATGCTATCAATGTCAATAGCATTTTATTATAAAGATAGGGTAGCCTGGGGCAAGACACCCCAGATAATTTATTTTGCTACATAACTTTTGTCCTACATCACCTGGAAGGCCAAATTTGTGCTCAATGCGTTCTTTGGACATTTTACTTTAAATTCCACCCCTCAAATTCATTCACTCATGATCGGACTCCAAGCTAGGAAGTGATTTGTGAAGCAACTGCAAATGGGGCATTTTGCCCCAGCCCCAGGGCAAAACGCCCCACGGCCCGGGGCAAGAAGCCCCATACTCTAGATTAAAGATTAAACATGCTAGTTGACCAAATCTTATATGAGAGGTCCGTTAGACCTTGGGAGGCACGGCACTGAAATTAGCACCTTCCATCCTATCAGGTGTTCAGCTATGACACTATTGTATGAGCAGGTTTTTCACCTGCCTCATAAGGCCAAATAATAAATTATTGCCATGCAACTGTCAACCAAATACTTCCTTTGCCATCCGGTTGCTGAGAAAACTACACATAAATGCATAGAAACTTACTGTTTGCCAGCTACCGAACATTAGGAAATGGGTAGTACGAACAACACATGAGGCAAAACGCCCCATGGGGCTTTTTGCCCCGCGACCTACTGGGGCGTTTTACCCCATCACGTAGTTCGGTCAGAAAACAACGCCTTGCACTCCAGCAAGACATAATTTAACACGAACCAACCCGGCATTATAAGCGTTAGATAATAGTTGTTCAAAATACATAAAAGTCGTTAACCTGATGTAGACCATAAAAGAACGCCATGATGCATAACCTGACAAGAAAACATAAAAATCACTCCAAAAACACATTTTTGGCTATATCTCCCTAAGGAGTCATCACAATTTCTTTCCAGTCTGGTCATATAATGATCATATAGTGCACGTTTTATAGAAGAGAGAATATTTCCCCAGATCCTTGCCAGTTCCGAGAAACATGGCGGTGAGGCGTTTTACCTCGGCGGGGCGACTTGCCCCGGTCTACCCTACAAATATCGCCTTTAGGCTCTGTCCATTGACCGCCGAGCAGCGATCGCTGCCTGTTGATGACCGACGCACGATTCAATTTTCCGCATTGTCAAAACTCAAAGGCATCCTAATAAATCTTCACGATTATGGCAGGCCATAACGACCACGACATTATCAGTTATTTCATCATCTGGGTAAGGCCATTATGATGCTACCTGGAAGCGCCGAGTCCAGTAATCCTGACTAAGCTGTTTTTGAGCTCATAAATCCGAGTCATAACGTCGAGACTGCATTTATCCGGTTTGACCGTGTCTTGTAAATGCTCGTCATGGGATGGCAAGCGTAGGTAGTTCGCGACTCACGTTTTTTCCCACAACTTCTGTTCACCCGCTTGTGACATCTTCAGTCGCACAAATAGCTTGCGCAATGTAGGAACACGAGTGTTTTTAGTTTTTACGTGCGAAAAAGGAGGTCGCCGTTCACCACAACGTTGTGCACATTGCACATTGCAAATAGATCGCCACTATGTCGCCATCGTTTCGGTGCCTAATCAGTGCCGTCCATGACAACTGCGGCTTTTTCACAGGTCAGACGAGCGCCACCAGTAACCAGCACTCGACCGGTAACACTCAGACGAACCAGGGCGAGGCCAGTGCTGTGTCCGTCCAGCAACAGTCTGGTCTCGGCGGAGCCACCCAGACCACCAACAACCAGGCGGTCATCAACGCCCTGCAGCAGGCTGCTGGCGGCGGCGCCGGCGGTGCCGGTTCGGGAGAGCAGAGCTCCAACAATCAGGTCAGTGCCAGGTTGAAAAATTCAAACACTGCTCTAAAAGAGCTCTAATAGGCAATAAACTCCAAGGCAATAGACTCCAATAGGCTAGTGGAGCACCATCTGGGTTTAAAGCCAGCAAAGCTCCAGCAACCGAATCTCTGTGAACCGGGTAGAATCTGCGGTTGACAGCTTACAGTAACTCGATGATAGGTGTGCGCCATATGCCTTTCTCAGCTCGTCTGACTTCCTTTTCACACAGCTTCCGTGGGACCGTTGCACAACGTGCAAAACTTGTCGCCGTCGCTAAACTCGTGTTTTTCTCGCGTCAGGTGAACATCAACTCGAGCCAGCTGCAGCAGAATGTTGAGGGTACGCTGGTGAACGTCAACTCCGGAAACAAGGGAGTGGTGATCGTTAACACCAACGACCCGGAGACGGGTATCGTCAGTAAGTGCACCGCCAGAGAAGACGGAAACCGGGGCGAGGCGGTTGGAGTGAGCTTTCCTCAGTGGCGTCATCTGTAGCGTTAGTGTGTGTCCGCTGACGCCAGATGGCAGTGCAGGTCCCGAACTGGTCGAGGACTCGTTTCTGCGTATTCATGAAGTCTATCTCCAAGCGAAACCTGTGAGCAGACCTCTATCTGCTATCATATGACCTTAAACATGACTTCTGACCTGAGCTCTGACCTGACTTTAAACCTCATACCTGTCCTGACCCACGACATGACCTCTGGCGCGACCCCTGCTGACCTGACATCTGACCTGAACCTGTCCCGCCCTACTGACATCTGACCTGACTTCTGGCAAAATCTCTCAACTGATCATGTCGCCTCTGACCTCTGATCTCACATCTAATCTGACCTCTAGCCTCTGACCTCACCTCTAACTTGGCCTCTTTCTTAACCACTGACCTGACATCTCCATGAATTCTGGCAATAGCTCTAGCCTCACCCTTAGCCTGATCCCTGACTTGTCTTCTCATTTGACACAATCATCTGCACTGAAGCTTGATTTATTTTGATTCTGCATTGACCTCTTTTGTACATTCTACCTCTGACCTGACCTCTGACCTCTCCACAGCCGGCCAGAAGGTGGTCAACAACCGTCCGATCGCGCAGGCTACTGCCGAGAGCAGCACGTGCCTCTACACGTGTCGCCGCAGCACTGGCCAGCTGTACTGTTGCGATTACGGAAAGAACCGCGGCGGACCCCGTGAGTAGGCTAGCTGGGGACGGGTGGCGGTGTCAGGGCTAGTAGTTTTAGGAGTTGGATTCGTTCATTGTGTGCGAGGGTAAAGACCGATTGCCGTAGCACTGACTGTGTGCTGTGTATGCTGTGCATAGCCCGGTACATTTATGCACGCCTTTTTGAGCTGCTTCCTTACAAGTGTTTTATATCGGGTTCTCAAGCAGCTTTTTCGCACAATATCACTTTGTTTTATGGTCTTTTTTGTGTTATTTTCCAGACCTTAAATGAAAAATATATTTTGCGTGGGTACCTATCCTTTGTTCTTTGTTCTGTTTGTTCCATGTGTTTCACCCTGTGCCAATACCACCGTCTTCCAAGTTTCGTCTGCGTCGCGCCCTTCACTGACCTATGATCGGGTGTGAGGTGGCTGCCGCTCGTTAGACCTCTGACCTTTGACCTCTGACCTTTGACCTCTGACCTTTGACCTCTGACCTTTGACCTCTGACCTTTGACCTCTGACCGACAGCGGAGATCCACGGTGGTCAGTGTCCCCCGGCCCGGCTCATCTGTCCCAATGGTGACTTCTTCCGGAGATGCGCCCACGACGGCCAGTGCGCCAGCAGCGACAAGTGCTGCTACGACGCCTGCGCCAATCATCACATCTGCAAGCCGCCCGTCGTGGCGTGAGGCTCGCAAACAAGACGGCTTTACCATCAATAAATATTTTTAAAAAACCAGAAAGAAAAGTTGGCTATTTTTATTTGAATGAAATGCTTTTCCAGTGAAACCACCAACTCAGCAACTCGTGAATATTCACATAAGTTTCCTTATCATGCTAACTTCGGAGTTTTTTTTTTTCATTTCATGGCATTCCAAGGTAGGCCAAAATGTTTCCGTATAAGGTTCACGTGCGCTCTGGCTCTTGTGTTGATCGAGGTTCTACCTGTTTGCACAAAGTTTTCTCATTAGATGCTCTGTTGTTTGTCGACTGTCTGGAACCGTGAACCGTCTAGAGGCAGTGTGTGTCTGTAGTGTAAAGTGACAGAAAGATGGCTCGGGAAGCTGCATATTACATACATGGTCACGTTAAGAGCATATATGTAGAACAACGCCACGCTCAGTGTTTGTGCTTACTGGACTTGGATATGGAATTTTGAATGTATGGCTAATAAAGTGTATTTATAAACTGCGTGTCTGATGACTTTTAATCGTGTTTCTTTGGTACCTAAATATTTTTCTTTTAAAAAAGAACTGAGAACATAAAGCGGTACTTAACACCTTCATGCAATATACGAATAGACAAATAGGTGAATGCCAATGCAGATGAACAGCGCTCAGTGCTCACACAATATAAGAAAAGGAAGTTTTTGGTAGGGAACGATGTCAATGCGTGGTATAGTACGCTTACCCGATCGAAGTAATGTTATGTTTGGTCTTGTGGTTACATTAATCACTTTGTTTACTGAGAGCGCTGCCAAAGGTTTCCGATCACTTATCAAACGATTTCCAATGCCTACACTACGACCATATGGTATTCCGGGTCACGCTAAACGCTTGCATATTGGCGTAAACGGTCACGTTACGGTCAAACTGCCACTAAGCTGGAATCCATAGTATAAGGAGGATAACACTTGAGAGCGGCGATGGTACTCCATCCGCTGGACACTATGCAAACGATGATGTTCGATCATTTGTGATGAAACGATTGGCCGTCCATCCTCTGTGCCGTGGTACTGACATATACGAGTATAGTCCATATTTGCTGCACTGCGTAATGCGTACGGCCTGTAGGTATATGGCAGGGAAACTCAGGAACATTTTCAAATGAATAATATCGAATTCAGAAATTTCCTGACAGCATTCACTTTTATATGATAAATTAATGCATATTTTGAGGCCTGAACATTATAGCAATGGCTCGGCATGCATCGTGCATAGCGCACATCTTACCACCAAATAACTTACCTTCAAGGTATCAGTTCACCCCACGAATGGCAATGCACTGCCAAAGCCAGCAGCGGCTAGTATTCGTAAATGCCGTTACCCACTATGTAGACGATGACACGGACATATTTCCATTGCAGAATAGTTAATGTTTTTTATATCCAAGCCTCCCTGAAATTTGCACTTGGCACAATTAGTTGAAAATGTGCTCTGCGAGTCGTTTCATCTGTAGGCTACCTACGGCAAAATACAAACCCACAGTTAGTTGATACGAAAGGAAGTTAATGTTTAATGTTATGCATAAAAATGCTGGTTTATTCAATAGGTAACGACATGTTCTAAATAAACATACTAGTTGATACGCCATGCTGTAAGAATGAGTAGGTTCATCAGTATCTTTAGGAATATAATATTCAGAAGGTCGCGCATTACTGGAATCCCTCAATGTATTTTACGAGCGATAAGTACGCCACACGCAGATCACACGCTAGGTCACCATTTGAACTACTTCACTCTCATCAGTTCATCACAAACAGGAAACTTGTTAGATCTCTATTTGCCTTTGCCAGCGTGAATTATTCATCCCATGCAAGAGACGAACACGCACCTTGATGTTCCGTTGTAACGTATATGCTGATCAGGCTAATCAGCATCACTGATTGCTCACAACACGACCTAGGCATGTGTTGCTAACTGGCTGCAGGTCTTGGATTGGAGCGGCTCTAATCTAGGTCCGGTTAGCATTTCTCATTGTCATCGCGTCGTCACTTTTTGTGTAAAATAAACGGCTAACTCACTCACATGTCAACTTAACATTACTGCTGGACATTCGCAACAAAATGTCCATTATGAACTGTGTAAATAGCGGCCGACCACACAATCGAACTCTTGCTAAGCACCTTTGCCACTGTGGCCTTTGCCGTACATTTGTACCCGAGCCTTCCATGTTTCAATCTCATGCTCGAACATCAATGCATGCTTGGTCTTGCCAAACAAGTGCTATCCAGAACTTCACTTGAAGCTAGAAGCGTCTTGATATTATAGACAAGCTTAACCCTCGCCCGCACATGCCATTTTCCCATCCTAGAACGCACATGGGGGGGGGGGGTTGCCACCCCCCCCCCCCCCGCGCCATTTCGTTCCTGTTGGAGATAGAGCTTAGCAGTAAAGACCAAAAAGATTCTTTGGGAAGAGACGAATCCAATGATACCCAGTTTTACCTTCTCAGGTCAGTCATTGACCTTCCAGGTCAGGTCAAACTAAAAAAATGTTGCTGTTTTGGGTCACCGTTGGATATCAAGTGCGCTGCTTATCAAATACCGATGACGATGCTGTTTTCTGGTGCCAAGCCAGCTAGAACCTCTTTGTCACACTATCCGACCAGAATTTTGCTGCTGAGGTCATTTCAGGTCAAGTTAGGTCAAGGTCAATTATATGTGTTTGTATGTCTGTGTGTGTCTGTGTGTATACTGATGTGTGCACCGATTGTTTTCGGGGTCCATATCACATGAAATCATGATCTGAGAAGCTTTTACCAAAAATGCAGTCAAAAAACTTCACAAAAAGTAAACTCAGCTTGTCTAAAACGCAATTATCGTAGATGACCTAGGTTGACCTTGACCCTGACCTTGACCCCTGTACATCGTCGAACAGCATGTTCCATGATAGGTGGGAGGTAAAACTGGCAAAAAAGGCCGAAATCAGGGTGTCAAAAGCTCACAAGGCCCATGGCAAACGCAAGATGTTGAGAATTGGCCATTTGGGTCATGACATGACCTGAAAAAACAAGGTCATATCTCCGAAACCAAAAATCACAGAAACTTGAAATTTTCAGTGGACATCAAGAAAGGATAGACGAGCAGCTATACGAAAAATCAGCATTCTAGCTCTAAAAATAAACGTCCGTCGGCCAGCACGGCCTCCATATCGCAGGCGGCCCGGTTGCCGCGCTCACGCGCCGGTCTCCACTGCTGTGCCGCCGCGGCCGCCGCGGCAGCACGCTTGGCCGCCCCCTCCTCATCCACTTCCAGGTGGTCAGGCCGCTCCCGCTGTTGCTGCCGTTCGCGCTGCTGCTGCGCTGCTCGCGCCGCATCAGCCATCGCGACGCGGCGCAGTCGCTGCCGGTCCCGATTCCGCTGCCGCTCTGCCTCCCGTTTGTCGTCTGTCATCGCTGCGCGTCGCTTCCGCTGCCGCTCGCGGTCCCGCCTAGCTATGTCCTCGGCGGTACGGGCCGCCTCCTCCTCCCGTTCAGTGGGACGCTCGCCGGCCAGGCGCAGAGCCTCGGCCTTACGCAGGGCCTGCCGCAGGCGCTCACGACGCCGCCGCTGGGCGGCCGTGTTCCGCGCACGAGCAGCTTGGCCCGCACGTCGAGACATTCACGAAAAATCTCACACCACACAATTTAACACAAAACACACCTTACAATAATGAGCACTTCATACAAAAGCAGTCTTATAGTGGTAGAAAACAGCGAGAGCTGTCTCGAATAACGTCGCCCCTAATATACGGTCTTGACGTTGCCTATGCCGATTGTCACTGAAGACCGCAAAATGTAAACAAAATTTTCCCAAGCGGCAAGTGCGAAAAATACATGTAAACAAAAATAAAAGATATTGTTGCAATCCATCCATTACTTTACTTCACACTTCCTCTGAATGCGGTGAGTTGTGTTTATACTGGCGTGTTCCTCTGAATTAGGTGATTTGTTTGCAATTTGCATTTACTACCAGCTGCATTTATTGATTCCTCAGGCAGAAAAAAATGTCAACGGCTATGAAATGAATAATTATAGGTATGTTTATTTGTGTATTTACCGTGCATCTCCTGCCATTGGTTACAAGAACACATAACCGCTGAGGAAGAATGAAGGTGATAGGACAGGAAACCTCAGATCACAAAACCGTCAGATAGCAAAGGACCTACTGAAGCTGTCCTTTGCGGATGCCGTCGATTAATGGCTCTCCTGTCAGCACGGAACTGGGAACAATGATATGGCATAAGGAATAAGGATGTGTCGACCCCGGCTCCTTAAAACAAAGTCAAAACTCTTGATGACTGCATTAATAATGCGTGGTATTCTATGGCGAACGTTTCCTTTTTACTCACTAGATGGCAAAAGCATCAAACGCCTAAATGCACGCTGTACCGCAATGCCGCCTCTGCCACATGTAGCCGCCTGAATGCATACTGTACCGCAATGTCGCGTCTGGCGAATATGCTGGGAAAGTAAACGTGCTGCAGCTGGTTTGGAAGCACTGCTGGTTTTTGGTGAAATGTGACGGAGGATGAGCGACGTAAAAGCATGACATGTTACTTTCCAATGATTGAATGATTCAATTAAGCGCTGAAATGTTTTTATTTGCGCATTTAACTTGCATTCCTGTCATTTGTTATTTGACGATATGTGGATATTCGCCGGACACGACATTTTGGTACACAGTATGCAATCAGGCGGCTACATCTGGCATTTGAATTTACTGACGCGATAAAAATCAGCTGTAACTTTGGCAGCACTTATATTTTCGAAACTGATAATGGCTAGAAAATAGTCCAATGCATTAACCCTCGCCGGACCTATTGGTTTTCTACATACGCGCCGGCCGAGGGGGGGGGGGGGCGGGTACGACCCCCCCCTCGCCGTTTCGCCCCTGGTGGAGCTAGCGCGTCGCGGAAAAAACGAGCGTGTGCGCCGTTACGAGACGCAGAGATTGGTACCCGATTTTAAGGTCCTAGGTCAACCGGTGACCTCTGAGGTCAGGTCAAGTGCCCCAAGGTACGGTTCAGTTTTTGGTGAATAACTTCGCAAAAAACGGCCGCAGAGCCGCGATTTTGGCAGCATCGTGTTCGCCTCGCTCAGGCGCGTCGAATGATATACTTTTTGTCCGGGTCAGGTCAACTTGGGGTGTTGACCTCAGGTCAAGGTCAGGTCAGCACCCCTAGGTCACGAAGTTGGTCGAAAGAGGTCATATTGCATATCATTCGATTCGGTAGGTCTTCCTGAGTCCATTGGTGGCTTTCCCGACTCGCTAGCTCAATTTGATCAGGAGTTATTGACGAAAAACTAATGTGACCTTGATGACGTCATAGATGACGTCACGCAAGGTCAACATTGCAAAAGTGACGCATCTAACCTTGCAAGGAGTGCATAAAATCACGATTCTGTGTGCTTGAGATAGTTGGAGATCGTTCCCGGCGCCAGAATAGCAGTTTGAATTTTTCCCCATTGACTTATAATGGTGAGGTCACGAAAATGACCTGACCTCATATGACCTTTAGGAAAAATCCGAGATATACAAGTTGTGAGACTCATAATGGATATTAGATCCTGCAAGTTTCATTTCCCTGTGACATCTCCTCTGGCAGTGAGGGCGTTGCGAAGTTGCGACATCTGGAGACCGTGCAGAGGTTCACTTATGACGTCATAGGTCAGTGACCTGACCTGACCAAAAAATGCGGTTGGTGTCAAAAGATGCGGCTTGGATCAAAGGTCAGGTATGCCAAGTTTCAGCTCTCTATCGCCAGCGTGTTTGGAGCTATCGCGAAAAAACCCTATGGGGGGCGGCACCCGCCCCCCCCCCCCCCTCGGCCGGCGAGGGTTAAATGGGATTACAACAAAGTGCGTGCACGTGCTTGCATCTATGTTTGTCAGAGGTGCTTCCACCATTCAAAAGTCAACCCTAGTATGTATTTACCTAGTACGAATATCGCAAGACAGTTTTTCTCTCTACTTCAAAACTTCAATCAACTGCTGACCTACTGCACTGAGCCTAGCCAGTCACGCGTCCTTATACAGCAAAAAGCTTGTCGGTCTGACCGGAAACGATTCTGTAAATTGACTTCATCAATAGCCAGTCCCGTCGGCACGTTTTGTAGTGGCTTGTGCCGCGCTGGAAACGGTCAGAACTGGCTGAGGGCGACAAAGAGTGCAGCTGGCTGTTTTTAGTCAACTCAGTCGTCTGTGGCAGAGCGCTGATCAATGGGCAGCCAGAGAGCGGTCCGCCTCTGGTCCCGGCCCGTCGTGACTCTCCGGGCTGTTTCTCTTATCTCCGGGTGGTTTGTCCATTTCTAACCGTCTGGCTAAGAGACTCTCGGGGTAATTTTCACGTATCTAGGAGGAAGAGACTTCTCACGACTAGCCCGCTATGGCCCCTCCGGTAGTCTCACTTATCTAGCTCCGAGGCAAGGACCCTCCCGTTCCATCCCGCCAGACTCTCGAGGACGATTGAGACGTTTAGAGCCCAACACTTCAACGTAAGCTCAAGACTGTGGGTCGGGGACGGGGTCATCTCATCCCCAGGACGGTGTGACTGTGAAGCCGACATTTGCGGCAATCCTTGTGTGACAAGGCTTTACGCTTTTTCCCCTTTGCAGTGTTTTACCTACGCATAGATAAACCTGTATTCTGAAAATGATACAGGACATAAGCCACTGCTGCCCTCGAGAGCCTCGTCCTTGTAGTGAGGCATTTGGTGTGCATTGTGTATTGTGCAAGCGACACCCATCATGCTGTTATGCGATGACCGCTCTATCGAAAACATCTACAGATTAAAGGCGAATTTCACAAGCTGCTTACATAAGTTAGCAGAGCCTGTCGGTGGCTAAATTGAGCTGTTTACCGCCACATCCATTTAATAAGCGGCAAATTGCAGACGCGTCATCTCTTGAAAGCAGTTTAAGCCGATTAAGAGGATTTAGGGAAGAAGGATCACACAATGGCATTGGATATATCCGAGATCTCCGACATGGGTTTCAGATAGGAATTAGGAGAAAAGTCTACATTTTAACTCCTCGTCTAACTCGGTTCCAATGTCATGCGTAAAGGCAAACAGTATTCCTAAGGGTTACAGAAATACCCAGGGATTTAGTTTATTTTGGGTCAGATAAAGCATCGGGCCAGCAGAAACTACCAAAGTCTAATTTTCCCAGTTTCGACATTTCGACAACTAGGCTGGAAGCTTGTTATACTAATGAAGCAGCAATATCGTGAAAAAATCAATCACTCTTCCAAAGGTCTTTCCGCATTGTCGTGGGATTTAGTAGGCCGCTTTGGTCAGCATCCTCAAATCAACACTTTTGTCTTCAGATGGATAAGCTTACCTGATAACATGCTCAATATAATATGTTTATGTAATATCTGTTGATACGCTGTATTATCAATCATCAAACGTCATTTGCTTTACCATCATTTTGTTTCACTTATTGAGGCTCGTCAAATGATGCCTAAATTAGACCCTTTCAGGTCAACGTAGAAATTGACCTTGGAATATCATCATGAGCAAAGCAGATCAAGTCGTGCTGTGCACCTTTATAACCAGTATAGCGCCTTTTGGGGCGACTAACGGAGCGAGCGAGGGGGTGAGTCTTGCACGTGCGAAATTTCGAGGGGTACCTCCAACTGACTTGTGCACGGCACCCTACTGACCGGTTTCTAGCGATGTGCCAAATTTGAGCACAATCGGCCCAGCCGTTCTCGAGATCTGGGAGCGGCATCCTGCACGTGCGCACGTGCAAAATGGGTCCCAACTGACTTGTGCACGGCACCCTACTAACTGATCCCTAACCGTGTACCAAATTTGAGCGCCATCGGTCCAGCCGTTCTCGAGATCTGGAAACGACCCCTGCACGTGCGCACGTGCAGCAGCACCCCAACTCTGGCACATGGATATGCAGTGCCTAGTGGGTGCCTACCTACATGCCAACTTTCAGCGCAATCGGCCAAGTAGTTACCGAGATATTGCAACAATTACAAAAGTGACACCTCTTCGTTTTGCACGTGGCACGTGCATAAGGGGTCACCCACATGTATCGGGAATAGTCCAATACTTGGTAGAAGGAATGAAGCTACCCTACAAAAATTACCGCGTGTAAATCGGTCAAGTGGTTGCTGAGATATAAGCCTCGCAAAAGCGTCCGCACGGCCGGCCGGCCGGCCGGCCGGCCGGCCGGCCGCTCATACTCAGAAATTTCCGTTAATCTAAGGAAAGACTACGCTCGCTTCGCTCGCTCCGTAATTAGGTAAACACAGATCAAAGCTGATCAATATTTTAAAAGAAACACTGTTTAAAAATATAATTGACGAAAACAGCGACAAGCGCAGCTTCGTCTGTCTCTAATGCAGCTTCCGTCATCCATGGGAAGGTTTAGCGGACGTCGGCACGAGTACTTATGTAAGTTGTCAGGTCAATAAAACGGACACGTACCGAAAGGAAACCCCAAGCCAATCCCACCCGACGACTGATTGGCCGTTCAGGGAACAATTTGGTCCCGGTGAGCTGGGTCAGCCGACAGCTGAATTAGGTTGGCCTTACTTGGGTGTGGATATGCACACATAAAAATATTGACACCGTTAGCGGTGTAATTGCACAGTACATATCTGAGCACTTGAGGAAAGTTAATTTAGTCCCTTCCCCGCTTAAATTACTCGCGCTTCTAAATGAACACCAGGAAGAAGGTAATAGAACACTGTTAGGAGGGTTGGGTGTTTTACTACATGTAGCAAAACACCCAACCCTCCTAACAGTGTTCTATTACCTTCTTCCTGGTGTTCATTTAGAAGCGCGAGTAATTTAAGCGGGGAAGGGACTAAATTAACTTTCCTCAAGTGCTCAGATATGTACTGTGCAATTACACCGCTAACGGTGTTAATATTTTTCTGTGTGTGGGAAATGAAACTGCAAAGCATTGGCACAAGAACAAAATTTCACGGTATGGTTTTCACTGACATATTACTTATAGATACAAAATAGCTGTGCAGTACGTGTAAGCGTTAAATGATTAACAACAGGGAATGTGCATCAGGTAGAGGGTCCACCAGGTTTTTTGGCTTGGGAGATCCGACCCTTAAAATGCACGTCTTTATGCATAACGCTCTAGACCCGAAATAAGATTATTGCGGGGTTCGGTCTAGTCAAAAGAATTCGCAAGCTCAGTTGTTTATTTGTAGAGGTCTTTGGTCTTGTCTTACCTTCCGCTCATGAGAAACCTTTTAAGCTGCCTATCAACAAGTCGTCTCAGGACATTGACTTGCGGGCTGCTATCAATATGCGACAAGTCCTTCGTGAGGAATTTAATTAAGATGTGATGTTGTCGATAAATGCCAATAAAAGATCGCAGCTCCATTCCTAATACGATTTAAATTGTTAATTTAACTGTAACCTTTACAATTGACTCTCAAAAGCTCTTAGTTGACTGGCACGCTAAGTTGTTCCACTTTTCACGCAATTTTGAGCATATCCAAGGTAGGTGTTGGATCACGGCACTCCAAACTGTGAACTCAGACCGTGTGATGCGGCACAGCCTACCACTCCAGGCAACTGATGGCCTGTGAAAAGTTGAACATCATTATGTCTGTACATACTTTTTAAACTGTGCTTACTCTTTTAACACCTTCAACCTATAATCAATTAATTTGAGGAAGGCAAAAACGCATTTACATCAAAATAGTTCAGAAATGAATGTTGTATTTATTAGTTGACGAGATGAGTTCAGCACTTACTTAACATCGACAAACCATAAATGTAGAAGCCTCCACAGCTGCTCCCATGTACCATATCACACTTTCCGAGGAAACATTGGCGGATCGTTGAAAGCAACGAGCTCCGTTGGACCGTTATTAATTCAACCATATCAAAAGGCCAACGTTTCGCTTTATTTTCATTTCAAATAGCATTTGTGATAGCTAATAAAGCGGTAAGCCGGGCGATTTAGGTATATTATGAATTAAACAGCAGTTTTACTACTAGCACTTTAACGAAGCTCGCTGTGACATTCCAACCTTCAAACCACATAATTTATCAACATGGCAAAACGTCCTATAACTATGTGTGCCCATCACTATAAGCTTTTCATAAAGCATGACACTGCTTATTTGATTCAGATTCGCAATGGAACACATATTCGGACAGTAGTCTTTGTACATAACATGTTAACAATGTGGCTCTCTGTGACCTGACCTTGAATCTGCCTCAGCAGGCCGTGCCCAGGTCACCCAGATAGCCCGCGGCGATGACGGTTGGACTGACTGTCACCGCAGCGCCAGCAGTGTCGATACCGCCCGCCCGCCCGCCATTGACCCCCGAACAGTGCGTCGTGGTGACGGACGTTTCCACTACCTCAGCCTCCGCAGGCCGTCCACAGAGGTCACTAGTGTTCCGCTCCGGACACCGCAAGGTGGCCCCACTGGCGTTCTGTTCCGGAAGCGGCAGGAGCGCGACACTGCCGGTCTCCTTCGGCCGAGGCGGCGTGGCGCCATTCTGGTCTCCCACCCGGAGAATTCCAGCTCTGGCCGGCGCTCTCCCGCTGGAGGGTTGGAGTGTGGAGCCGATGGGTTCCCTAGGTCGCCGAAAGGTGGCAGCACCGCTGCTCCCCGGTCGCCGGTAGGTGTCGCCAGTGGGCGGAGTCGGAGCGAGGGTGCGGCACGTGCGCACAGAGCGGGGCACACGCGGCGACATCTCCATCTGAATTATTTGCGGACCGCTGGAGCGGCGAAACACCTGGCAACAACACAAGCAACACAATTAGTGAGGTCTATTGCGCATTAGATCCCCGTGACGACATCGGGAGCCCGTGTCGCAAGCTAACAACAACGGCCGGCGCGTAGAGCGCCCACGGATGGTGTTACTGGCGCTCTTATCAAATCGTCTTTTCCAATGACGTTATCTAGAGTTTTTTTTTTGCTATAGATCATGGACTGCCTCATTGCACGATACTCCGTAATGATGATTGAGGCCATTTGGCTATCTAGGTTTGCAATTTTGTCGGGGAAGTTCAGAGAAGGATTTTCAACCGTGACATTCAATATTGCTAAAAGTTCGGAGGAGTCGCCACAAAATTGCATCCATGAATCATTCGCCGGACTGCTGCCGGGCTGATCAGGGCCCCGCTTGCAAACACCAAAGGCCAGCATTCAGCAAGTCTCGAAAAGTGTCCTGCTGACGAGTCTGCTGACCTGGATTACCTCAGACAATCTGCAATTATCGCATAAGATCATGCGATTGTCAGGATAGGGCCTTCCCTCCCCGGGAACCAACTTCGGATCAAGTACCAAAGAGTGAAAGCAAACTTCACAATTTTATTACTTTGTCACGACTTCTACAAGTGCGACCAAGTGTTAGTGAGACAATGCCATCCGGTAATCGATTAGTGGGCTTAGTTCATTACGGTGACAGCGAGGTGGCTACAGAATCCCATTAGTATCTCCGTGTTACGCCCACTATTGACACTGAGCAGTCAGCCCGGTGCACAACACGGGTCAAGGACACAGCACAGGACCAGTGCAGAACTCAGTCCCAGGGCACAGCACGGATCCAGAGTAAAGCACAGGTCCAGGGCACAACGGATCCGGGGGAGGGGGGGGGGCTGCAGGGAACTGGATAACAACACACCTCTCTCCTCTCGCACCCTGTTCCCATCAAAGTTTCTGCTTACCACACATCGACACACACTCTCTCTCTCTCTCTCTCTCTCTCTCTCCCTCCGCCTCTCTTCCTCGCCCTGCCTTCCCCTCCTCTCTCTCTCCCTCTCTCTCTCTCTCTCTCTCTCTCTCTCTCTCTCTCTCTCTCTCTCTCTCTCTCTCTCTCTCTCTCTCTCTCTCTCTCTCTCTCTCTCTCTCTCTCCCAACTACTCTCCCGTCTTGTCCACTCTCGTCCGCCCATTCATCAGCTGGTAAGGACAGCTCCGGTCGCCCAGCTCGTCACCTGCGCCCACACCCGAGGCCACAAATCCCCCCGGGGAGGTGTCGGCGCGTCGCGGCGACCAGCCTCACCCGCAGACTGCTGATGCTACTGCCGCCAGGAGAGACCGGACGCAGACTCGTGTAGCCCATGGCCTCGCTCTCTCGGTCTGACCGGTCGTCCAGGTCGAGGTCGATGCCCAGTACAGCCTGGAAACTGGACATGAAGAGGGGCTTGTTAGAACTCTTTGGGGAGGGATCTGGCTGTTATTGTTGTTGGTCTGGCTTTGACTCCCACCTTCGAAAGTTCGGCAAAATCGCCCATCTTTTAAGCATTGTTCGCTCCATTTTTAATGTCGCAAGAGGTCCCACTCCCAGCAGGTTGAGCATCCCGTTATTTTGCGCAGGGGACGGCAAGGCTTCGTTGCTCTTTCTGGATTCTCAATTATTTGGGCAGATGCCGGTGCAAGGACACGTTTAACCCTAGAACGCCTAGGGGGGGGGGGGTTGTATCAACCCCCCCTGAGGTTTTTTCGAAGTGCACGCTAAACGGCTTGTCGTAGCGGGCTGAAATTTTCAATACCCTCTGGGACAACCTTTGCGCATCTTTTGCCGAAAAAAATTGATCGGGTCATGTCAGGTCACGGAGTTATGACGTCATAAGAGGTACAGCCTCCGGCCGGATTTTCACAAACTGAGTGCCAACGCCCGAGGTTTCCTGCCGGTGGTACGGACATCGGTTGATGGATCGTGATGAAACTTCCCATGCATGTTGGGGCAAGTATTGGCTATCATATGGTATAAGAAATTTGACCGGGTCAGGTCAGGTCACGGAGCTATGACGTCACAAGAGGAACAGCGTCCGGTACTATTTTTGAAAAGCGCCCGAACCACTATTTTGCTAATTCTTGTCACCTCAATGGGAATATGCAGCAATATTAGCTTTTATAGGGGGCAAATGGACCTCCCAAATCCAAAAATACAATCAGATTTCAAAAATTTAAATTTTGATTTTTCGAATTTCTGCCGCCGACTGTGACCTTGCCGACTTCCGGCGCTCCCAACGCGCCATTTTTAGAGCTAGGGAAACGAAATACATACCAAACGATAGAGAATTGATCAAGGAACACGATAGTGAAGGTTTCAAGTCGATATCTCCCACCGTTTTGCCGCAATCGCCGCCGAAAGTTGAAAAAAGTCTATTTTTCCGAAAATTTGACCTTTGACCGGTCAAAAGTAGGTCAAATGTTGACCTAGGACCAAAAAATATACCACCAATCGCGAGATCTCGTTGAGAGCAATCCGTTGGTTTTTTCCGCTAAGCTCTACGACCTTCCGTTTCGAAACGCCAGGGGGGGTCGTAACAACCCCCCCCTGGTCGTTCGTGTTATGAGAAAAGTGGCCTGGTCGTGCGAGGGTTAAGGAGAGCGACGACAGTCATGTTCGGGGGGGGGGGGGGCGACATGGTCGCCCGACTTTTACTCGTAAATGAACACTGCTCGGTACTCACACCGACGCCGTCGAGTAGTGCAGCTCCCGCAGTCTCGTGCACTTGTCATCCCGCCGGGAGCGTTTGCCCCCTGAAACAGTACAACGAGAGAGCGGCCATTGGTCAATAGAATGCTCGCTGCTCATGACAATTAGTCAAACCCGGCCGCCGCCAGCCCGGTCATCGTCCCTAATGGTTCAGAGGGACAGATGCTTTCAGTTGAAACAAGAAGTGCTGAAAACTTCGGCAACATATTCGCAGACTACAGGATATTCATGGTTTTAATCCACTATTACATTAGCCTTGAATGCGGGAGCACTTAACGCAGCAAAGAAATCCGCAAAGTCACCAATGGTCGCAGATTGACTTCGCTCCTTTGGATTGCTCTGAGCTCCACATCCCCCGGGCTGCGCTTTTCCCGATGAACATTGCATGCAATGTCGGACAGCTGATTTATAATCCAGCCAATTTTGAGGAATGTACCATGGCGCCGGCTGGAGACTCGACTTTGACGATAAATGTATCGCGCTGAGCATGCACCCAGTCGACAACGTGAATAATGAAATGGCAAGCGTCATATGTTGCCGATTTTGGCAGGGCGACATTGGCGTCCTTGGAGCGTCGCCAAATAACTTTAAATGTCATTGTGAAAGTGCTGTTAATGAATGGGAAGGCTTATTTATAGCAGACTGCCATTTTCCACATCAGAGCTTGTAAGAGAACAGCGTCAGCATCCAGCACACTAATGGGGCTTAAATATTCCTCGCAACTTGCCATAAATATAAGGGTGATGAATAAGTCGAACTAACTATAATCGATAAGTTCAATGATAAAAAGGGTAATTAATTAACTGCGAATGAAACAAACAACGCTTTAGTAGGCATTTAAAAAGGCTCCAAATTGCTTTGGGGCTTCGAAATTCACCGGTTGAATTGCAGAGTAACAAACGAACATTTCGAATTCTTTTGAAAATTATTGACCCCTCTTGGACATCTTTGAATTAAGGTTTTAGACATTTTTGGAGGATTCTAATGGTGAGATTCTCGGCCTTGACCTTTTTCGAGCTGGAGGTGGCTGTCCCCCGGCGCTCCTGCCTTACCGCGCGGCTCGAACAAGTTTGATGCAGAGTGCTGGGGAGGAGCGTCTCAATGGAGAACGTACGAGATAAACAACAACGTTGTGTCTGTCTGGATGATCGGTTGCGGGAAAAAACAACAAAACAAAAACGCCTGGTCTTATTTATATGTTTGGATAGAGAATTGGACTGCACTTAGCATATGAAATGGATCAGTTTTTAGAGGAACGAGATCACGTCCCCTGTGCCCAACATCCTTTGAAAGGATTCACGTGAACCTCATGACTGGAATGAAGCTGGAAATGATTTATGCTTCATTGGAAGCAGCAGCTTAGATACTTTGAGAGAAAATCAATAAGAGATAAACTCATGAACACAATGAAGATTGATGAGTCTGGAAGTGATGAGTTATGAATCAAGTAAAAGGAAAAACAACATCGCTACAGGGAGCATAAAACTTACATTACGACGGAAACATGTCAGATACTCAATCAGATAAGAATGCTCACAAACGAGACGTTTTATTACTATTTTTTGTATTGTTCTTTGTTTTATATGAAACTGCAATTGAAGGTTTTTTTTGGTTACGGTAGGTACCTGGAAATTTTTATTCTGGCTTCCATGGAACACAGATAGTGGAAATGGTGTGCTAATATTTTCGAAGCTGAATATCGTAGTTTCGTGCAACTTTGACCACCAAGGACAACTTTGGCCCACGCCTGGAAAACTAATCTATTTTGCTGTAGCTCTTTACACTTAGGGGAAAGTGGGTTAAACGGTCAGGGAAGCCTACCCTGACCGTCTTACCCCACTTTCCCTCTTAAGTGTAAAACGCTACTGCAAAACAAATTAGTTTTCCAGGAGTGGACCAAAGTTGCTCTTGGTGACCAAAGCTGCACTAAACTACGGTACGTTATGTTACACAATTTGAAGACATTTAACATTCGTTTTTCGTTATTTTTATTACAAATCCATAATGCTCTCACCTCTATACTTTATTACGCTGTAGAAGACCATTACGGGCGAGGATGAAAAATATAAATGGTAAGCTATGGTAATGCACTGGCTCATTTTAGGCTCTAAGTTATCCAATCATCTCTTTGTAAGAAGTCTGACAGAAAGTTCACCAACTTAACAAACTTCTTCAGTGAAATGAGCACATGCTAATTTTTTCTTCTCTTTCGCAGGAGATCTGGAACTTAGTGAATACATTTATAATTCGATGTTGCCGTGGGGTATCTGATTGGCAGCGTAAAAAAGAAACCATGCTGCATGGGACACAATGATTGGCAGCGTAAAAAAGAAACCATGCTGCATGGGACACAAAGTTACAATGTGTACCTGCCATCCGTAAAAACGTGGCCCATTCATCATCATTCTTTATTATGCACCGCTTTTACAGCGACAAATACAAATATATACATGTGTGTGGTCACAAATGATGGGAGCCTGAAAAGCTGGTATCTCAGGTATAGGTGCTCAATGTGAGCACGTGAGGAGCCTCAATAGGCGCCTGGAGGCCTCACATGTTCCTTGAAGGACCAGCCGAATGCTATCCGCCAAGCCGTCCTCCAACCGCGGAGCCCGCACACGGTCAGGGTCCACCGGCCCACCAGCCGCCAGCTCCATTACTGCACGAAAGTCCCTGTTGTACATTTCAAACACTTGTAGGAGGAATGAGCCCTCAAGTTCTCTGGGGCACATGGCCAGCTTTGCTAGGGAGGTGATCATGGTCTGTTTTAAGCGGTGCTCCGCTACCATCGCTGACCTGAGAGCAGAGAATATTGCGCCTCTCAACAACTCTCGAACCGGCGCCAAACCAGCGGCCGTCAGGAGGGCAGAGTGATGTGCGAAGCGGGGCAGCCCGAATGCCACCTTCACACATCCGGCTTGAAGGGCATCCAGGCGGTCCACCTCGGATGGACGAAAAGGAGCTGTGCTACACCCGTACATCAAAGTAGGGAGGACAACAGCCTTCCATAGGTAAGCTTTGTCAGCCGGGCTTAAGCTTTTGGCCAGTAGGCCAGCTGGTGCTAGGCCATAAAAGGCAGCTCGAGCCCTTTTGACACGCTGGTCGACGTGTCGGGAAGCCGTGGAGCGGGCGTCGAGCGTCACGCCGAGGTGCTCGGAATAAGGCCGTGTTTGGAGCGGTTGGCCAGCTAGCTTCCACGTTGGTGACTGCGCCAGAAGCTCGCCACCGAAGACGATGCAGTGGCTTTTTGTCTTCTGATGGTCTGGATGGACGAATTCTAGTCGCCAGTCGCGCGCAAAGTCACCGACCTGGACCAATAGTGCACTGAGATGAGCGGCGTTCGTTGACAGTAGGAGCAGGTCATCAGCATAACACACTCCCGGCACGTGGTGCTGATGAAGGTAAGCGCCGTCGCCGCTGCGGTCCAGCGTCGCCAATAATGGACGCAAGAACACATTTGCAAAGGTCGGCGAGAGGATAGCGCCTTGCCTGGTTCCGCGTAAAACCTCAAAAGTTTCGGAGCTGGTGCCACCAAATGTAACTCTGGCGGATAGATGCCGATACCAGTAGACGATCAGGAGCCAGCAGTTGACGCTCATATGTTCTGTGAGTTGGTAAAACAGTCCGTCATGCCAAATCTTGTCAAAACATTTGCGTGCGTCCAGGTTGGCAGCGAACACAGGGAGACCAGCGCGCCGGTTATAATGTACGGTCTCTTCGACGAGCATAGAAGCTTCCGCTGTGCCACGATTAGGGATGAAGCCAAACTGTAGGTCGTGCGGGTGAAAAGAAGACTGCAGTTCCTCCAAAATCAGCAGTTCCAGGAGCTGATTAACTCTCCACATAACATAACTCTCCATTATCAGGAGAGTTATGTTTTCAAAACGCAACAAAGTTTTGATATTTCTTCCACAGGAATTATCATTCTACCAACATTACACAGATTAACCCTCGCCCCGTTGGGGGGGGGGGGCCATTTTGGCCCCCCCTGTGGTTTTTCCTGAATAGCAAGAAAACGGCGGCGCGCAGCGCCGCTAAATTTTCAGTACCTTCCTGGGCATCAATTTGACACCTTCACACCAAATTTCAAGTCTTAGGTCACCTTAGGTCAGGAGTTATTGAGGTCAAGCTGAGGTCATGTTCGAGCAAAAATGAGCAAAAAACATGCAATCTTGAAACGCTCACCAAATCCACAGTTATCAAGCAATTTCAAAGTTCTTTATATGGTCTAGTAGACAAAAAGCGGCGCTACAAAACTGCTATCTCAGATTTTCAAAATTTTGTTTTTTGACCAAAAAAAATTCAAAAAATTGATTTTTTTAGAAAAACTTTGAAAAAATCCAAAATTTTTCCGAATTTCGAAAAAAAACGGAATATATGTGATAGTCCCAGCACTCTGCTATATACATACCAAATTTCAGATCGATATCTTGTTTTTTGGCCAAGTTATAGCGAAAAAACTGTTCAAAAATGATGACGTCAAATTTTTGAACTCAATTTTTAGCAATTCTAGACCACGTACGGCAAAACAAAGACCACCATTGAACTCCCCGTGACAAGCTGCATCGATTCGATACCCATTTTATGCAAAAATATTAACTTTGAAATTTGACCTAATTTGACCTGACCTTGACTTGACCTTGACCTGACCTTGACCAAAACGTGATCTAAGCTGGCCCCAAAGGCTGCCTGACCCATATAATCGCATTTGTCATGTAAAATGGACCATAAAACATGTATCACACGACACTTTCATATTGTGACCCCCCGTGACCTGACCTCTGTGACCTGACCTGGTATCAGTGACCTCAAATAGCAAAATATGTGTTTGAAGAACATCACCCCATCGATGATTTTCAATGAAATGCATTTTACTCGATTTTACAACGCATTTCTTGAAGTGCCTGTAAACGGTGAAAATTGGACCTTTGACCTGACCTGTGACGTCATCGGTTTGACCTAGGTCAATAAAATTGGGTCACAAGGTAGTTCCCCGTTGGGGCTATCCAACGCCGTTTACCGCTTGTCGCTATGTTGCGTGGTTCTCGAGATCTTAGGGGGGGCCAAAATGCCCCCCCCCCCCAACCGGGCGCGTTGCTCGGCAGAGCCCAACGGGGCGCGGGTTAAAGGTCAAGACGTTGGATGTCATTTCCTAACGACATTGCGTGTGATTCTGAAGAGACTACGGCCAAAATCTCAACCTTTGTCTTTCAATACCAATACATCGAGCTTGTCATCGGCCAATACCCCCCCCCCCCCCCCCAACAATATCCGTAATAATAACGAAACTTGCGAGAATACAGCACCAATATTCAATTCCCATTTGAGTGTAGCATCTATTTCAAAAAGCAGTTTGGTACTCATTTTCTACCCTCATCTTCCCTGACTTGCACCTTCCTACATCAGAAATCTGCTCTCAAACCATCCCCATTTCGTTTTCTTTTTAATTGAATCGTCCTTCAAGCCGGTATTTCTAAAACCTACAGCTTTCGAAATCCTGTACTTGCTGGTCAAGCGTTTCAAACCACCTATTTTTACTCGTATTGCTTCTTCAAAACACGTCTTACAGCAATTCTACCAGCATGACCATTCGCAGTTCTCATCTTCAGATTCAGCTAAAAGCTAAAAATTCAGTCCGCCACCGTCACTAAATACATTGCTAGAGAAGCCCTGGATAGAGGGCCAATCGACCCAAGTTGGACACAATTCGACGATTCTGGTCACGTCTCGGTGCTTCTGCAGTCTGTGGGAACTCCATTATGACCATGGTAGCGCTTGTGGCGGGTTCAAAAGCCATGGAACCTCGCCGCAGCGTGCATTGTCACTGAAATATTTGGGATTAATAAACGGATTAAAGCCTGGTCCTGAAGCATATCTGGTGGTTTTTTTTTAGAATGCTTGCCGGAAAAACTCGATAGCCTGCGATTCTTTTAGCGACCTTTGGGTGGCAATATGTACCGTAAGCTTCCCCGAAGCCAGCCTATCGGGTAAAATTGTTTATGTTGAGGACGTGGTCGCATTTGCCAAAGCCGAAACTGAGACCGTTATCAGAGAGCGTCATGCAGGCCGGTAAAATTGCCTTTATCCTCATTCCTCCTGTTACCTTTAATTATTGTCTTATTTAATAAATATATATTATATTAAAGACATGTAGCGTTTCCCTTTTGCCAGAATAAATCACGCCACCTCTAAGATCGGAAGCCTGCATAATAGTAACAAAGCGACCGAGAGAGCCAACGCGCTAACAAAATAGTAATTTATCGAATATTTGTCGAATATCCTATTGAATATGCTATCGAATATGCTAATTAATTAAACATATGTACTAAGTTTCATTTCATTTGCACTGACGAAGACGCCTTGTCGTTGAAACTTCTGCGAAATATAGATATAAAGATTTGAATTGCACTGTTTTGTCGTTTGTGTAGGGGAAAGTGGGTGTATTGCGCCCTCCTAACCAATTGCGCCCACCAACATTCCCACGGATTCAATGGCATGTTTAGAATTTTGTGTTCGAAAACATGATTTTCACCACCGGATATTTCATTTTATGGCCCAAACTCTCCGATGAAGCCAATCAGCAAGGCCTATTACGCCATTAAAGATGTTATGGCGTTTTCTTAACTTTTTTGCAGTATTTTGAACCGTCGGCTATAAAAATTTGCGATATTTGTCTGATTTTCAGAGTGATATTTAGAAAGAAAAACCCTTTTTTCATTGTATTTCACTGAAACAGTAAACTTCTTTCAACATCTTTATGATAATTTCTACGCTTTTATAAAAAAGTACCTCAATCTTAATTGCGCCCATGGCAATTGCGCCAGGGGGGCGCAAATAGAATAATGGTGTAGCTATTGTATCACGACAGTATGAATGCATCATTAACTGATTGCAATAAAGAAGGAGTTTAATGCCACGCAGGGGAGCAGCCCGCTGTCGCCAGTCCGCAAATTATTTCTCTCGTCAAACTTATAATGCAGCTGCCATTTAGGCTACGACTTGTGGTGCAATTGACAAAATACGACATTTTCAACATGGACTAAGACGTGAGAAGTGACAGCTATGACAAAAAAGTAAAAACTGATGTCATAAAGTTGTCGAAACGATAAAGAATTATTAATTTTGAGAGAAACGATTGAAAATTTAACTGTATAGGCGCATACGTTCACATATATCTAGTCGGTTACAGTAAACGTTTTCGTTGTACTTTTACAAGCGTACGGACACATGTAACGTTAACTACCTGGGCCAAAAACATCGCGATTTATATCTACATTTATTATTTATCCAGCCTCAATAACATAATAAATGTTTAAGTAAGCCGCAATGACATTAGACTGCCGGGAAGTATGCATTCCGTCTCATTCACTTAGCCATGTTAAAGTATAGGGCGCAATTGGGTTCTAATTGCGCCATCCCCCTGGCGCAATTTACAGCAGTTGTTGGCAAATGCGCCCTTTTGCATGTTTCTGAAAAACAGCCGTCAGAAGCAAACGAAACATTCTTAATTGATCGGGAGGCTCTTAAATCGTAGCCAATGAGTTCCTCTTTGAAATGGTTACCAGTGCATGCTTACATCTCCAGCGGTTTTCTTTTAATTAGCGCTTTTCCTTAAGGTGGCGCAATTCACCCTCCTTCCCCTACTTGAAGCGCTAACAAAACCCGTGTAATTGTCAGACATCTTTAAATTCAATCCTTTAAGTAAGAGCGAATAAGATAAAACAAGAGCACTTACCATCACCGTTGTATATGAAAAGATGTGAGAAAGAGACAAGATTTTACACAACTTTTCTGCTGAGTGAGCATATACAGTGAGCGTGTATGTACCCGTGATGCGGTTCAAATTTCAAACTCTTGGCTCATTGATATGCACAGTGTTTTTGAGGCGACAAAACAGAAGCTACATAAGGTTGGATAAATGTATCGGAAATAAATGCAAAAAGTCCTTTAGAAGTTAGTTCTCTTGTCTCTCCCATGCATTGCCCTCATACATTATGCAATGGGTCCCACCTGGGAAATCTCTTCCTTGGCCGTGTATCCGTATTATCGGGATCTGACGGCCTGGAATGTCCCCGCGATCCCTGAAACAAAGGACCAAATCGACGGTCAATGGATCCTGCGGTCTCTAATTTACTCTGAGGCATTCCTGAGCGCTTAAAAGCCAGTCTTATGTACATTGTTATTACATTGCAGGAGATCGGATTTTCTAAAAAATAAATATCAGTCAATGCTTTTTATTAGCTGAACGTTTTTTTATAATAATGTTCAACTAAATATCAGTATTTTCGCTTTCGAAGCAAACAATACAACCTAATGATAAAATAAGTCATAAAAGAAAGGAAGCTTCTGAAACAAAAGCAAAGTGTTTCGACTTTTGCAAGCGTTAGCCGGTTAGCATTTTAACGCGCTGGGAAATCAGCGTGTTACAAAACAGTTGTCCTCAACTTCATTTCCACTCCAGAATGCGTAATTTACATTGAAGCTGCGAGCGGCAGCAACTATAATAAACGTCATTAAGCGTTGAGTCAACACAGACTGTATGAGGTAGAACCATAGCTAGAGCAATAAGGTCTTCGGATACGGTTTCCGTCACAAGAAGTTTATTGAAGCGTTTCATGACAACTGTATAGTAAAACGGCAAGAGTACATACAATGTTTTATCCGCATATATCGTGGGTGTTTTTGACACCTATAACGTCCCCTAGGCTAGGTTAATTGTTTGACCTGACCTGAACGAGATGTATCTTCGTCGTTTGATTCGCCGTCGCGCCCGCTCTGCCCGCCGCCTCAGGCAGCAGATCGTTAGCAGCACTGCAGCGGGGAAGAGGACGATACTGGACACAATTGGCACGATCACCGTCTCCGGTCGCACTGGAACGCAAGGTAAGTAGTCACTGGATCACAACGGTCAGTGGGAGGTCAGGGAACACAATGGCAAGTGAAAGGTCAGAGGTCACTGAAACGTAGGGGTCAGTCAAAGGAGAAAGTCAGGGGCTACTGGCAAGCTGGAGTAAACTGTCTAAGCATCACTGTGAAGTGGGAACATTGCTTGAAAGATAACAGTGCACAATAGCCCTAAGGTTTGGACAACAAATTGACACATGAAATGGGAAACTGCATTGGACCATTGCAAATCAATCTCAGCAGGTTATCTCGACCTGCATAATGCCACAGCTGCGATCCACATAGACTCTGCCCATGCTCAAACCCAGACATTTAGGGGAGGTAGCCATCGATTTTCCAACTGCGTCATCCGCACTCAGCACCGTGCTCCGGGGAAATTAAATTTACCTTACTAAGCACATACCAATTCGTCATCCCGCAGGCCAGTCATGTATCAAAAGAGTCTTACGTTGTTAAAAGTAGCACCGCAAGATCTGAGGCTTACTAAAACCCACCTCATAGGCTCACCTTAAGCATGACCTTCTGAGTCACCTATGATATCAATAAAAAGGACTCGTACAAAACTTATAAGCTCAACGGCTCGGGCTATGTAACTCAATATCTATCGATTCTTTGTATCTCTTTTCATAATCTGAAGCATTTGCATAAAATAGTCAAGCAGCGCAATTTCCTTAGGAGCATACGAATACAAACATAAACTGAGGAAGACAGGGAAAGGTTCCCTCGCAGCGTTACGATGTTGAACTATATAGTAAAATCAGCTGCAGCATTCCAGGGCAAATAGATTTGCCCGGAAAGATGTGTTCCACTAAGTGAGTCCATCCAGGACATTGCAGCTCGGCCCTTTGCACCCACAGACCGAACCTTTGTTTTGTGATAAAAAAGTGTGGAATAGTTGTGGCTATTGAAATCATGGCCTTTCGAGCGACTGTGACCAAAATGTCACGTGCCTTTTTACCCTCTCTCTTACCGCTGACCTCGTTGTCATAAAAAAGGCCCAAAATATAGAACTGGGACTGAGCGTCCGATTTGAAACGGTTCGCACTATTCCACATATGATATGATGTTGAACTAAAAAACACCCCAAATAATATCGATTCGCTTAGACAACTCCTCGAACTCACAATTGTTTGATAAGTTTCTCTAATATACGGCCTGAGGGACACTCCACCGCCAATATCGAGGTGGAGTAGTTTGTTTGGAAAACATTCCTCGGGCATGGTCGGTGGGCATAACATAGGAATCTTGGGCAGAGCGTCGAAGTTGTTTCACGGCGACTCAGCGCTTTCGGTGCTTTCTCTGCACAAAAAGTCACGGCTCAGGGAGACGCAAACAAACAAACCGACCACTCTCCTTTCCGAGCCACATCAGCATGAATAATGCAGTTTGTCGCCAAGTCACAGCTGATGTATACAAAACAAGAAACACAGCAGAATAGCGTTATTATATCTGCATCAAACGTGATTATATGAATGTAGTTACGAGGCTTCTTGTAAAACTAGAACAATCTGTTGCTAGCTTTGGAGCTTAAAGTACTAAAAAGCTTGTTTGATGACTGAGCGGGCCAGAAGTGTGATACAAAGTCCACGACGCTAGGCGCTTGGTGCGAAAGCAAATCAGCAACAATTGAAATTTGCATATGCCAATTGCCATGGCTGGCGATTACATGTAATAGACGCGTTGGATGGCCATAATGTCTATGGCATTCATATGAAATTGAGTTAAAAAAGAATAAATATCCTAACATGAGTAGTTGAGAATATCCTTCCAAGAAAAGAACGAACATAAAAAGCCGAAAGCGCGCTCTTGAATATCCAGCAGAGCCGCAATACCCTCATGTTCAGTGCAATAACAGATGCAATATTTGTTTTCCTTTTGTCTAGCGATGTCGATGCCTTTAAAAGCTCGGCGGTAGGTACTACATCTTCGTCTGGCTGCGGCGACAACAGGAGTGCGCACTTTTATGGTTATGTTATGTGTTATGCTATGCATCAAACGCAGCAGCGACGCAAACTTTCCGTGAATACAACATTAGGTGCGGCTGGATGAGTATGTTTAAGTACTCATTCCCATTTCCCATACATTAATCTATAGGCGTAGTGCAATGGTGCCACTCTACTGACCAGTGGGGCACACAATAAGGTGAGGCAGAGGTGTACAACTACAAACTGTAGATGTGTAGGTACGCTTTACTCACCCCGTGGGGTACACAATGAGATGCGGCAGAGGTGTAAGTACAGTCACACTGTACACCTGTCAACTGTAAGTACTCACCCATGGGGTACACAATGAGATGCGGCAGAGGCGTAAGTACAGTCACACTGTACACCCGTCAACTGTAAGTACTCACCCGTGGGGTACACAATGAGATGCGGCAGAGGTGTAAGTACAGTCACACTGTACACCTGTCAACTGTAAGTACTCACCCGTGGGGTACACAATGAGATGCGGCAGAGGTGTAGGGGGCGCGTCGGCGGAAGCTGCCGTCTGGTTTGCGTGTCGACTCTCCATTGTTGGCACGTGGCGGACCGACACGGAAAGTGGCTCAGCCTGGAAAACACAGACGCCGAGTCGTATTTCCACGTATCTAGGCACACTCACGGCGTAATACTCTGTGCCGAAGAGAGATATTCAGAGGTCTGCAGTTGTCATTGAATCAGAGCCAGCTGCGTAACAAAAGATCAAAGTGAATCTTAGATCATAAATCATTTATAGATTATATGTCAACATTCGTATAATTTATGACTGAGCTTTTTGTTTCCTTACTACCTATCCTGTATGTATATGGTTTATTTCATAATGGAGAATGTGCATAATGAAATTTACGACAAATTCAAATATCTAACTATGTACGATGAGCACCCATGAACAATCAACACGCATGACTCAAGGTAGCCAGGGAGAGACAAAGTTCGGAACAGCCTATATTTGTACATAAGTGATGCGCACAGGAAGGTAACAGGTAATACTCGTAAGTAGACTGTCATTGTTCTGTACCACGAAGAATGCATGGGTGCCTTTACAGTCCACCACGTCTGACACAAGAATGGCCAGCCGTCGACCGACGACTCAATATTGGCGGACCATGAGAACCGTTCCTTACAACATAGTTCGCTCCTGATATGCTGTACATATCGCAGAGGGTCAGATACAGATACAGATACAGATAGTTTATTCGGAACCTCCATAAGATGGATTTTCTGGTACCCACGTCAGTTACATAATATGCAAAAGTACACCACAATGCTACAATAAAACAGTTAAAATAGATCATACCTATTACATCATAAAATGTCGACTCCGTACGCTACCAATGTATCACATCAAACTGAGTCACATGTGGCTATTCCAAGTGCTAGCTGCACGGTAGAAAAAGCCACGTCGGGCAAACGCTGTCCGGACCTTGGGCAGGTGAAGCTGACCACCCGCCGTCGCCCGGGTGCACCGGGCCGACACATCAGACCGGCGGACGACCCGCTCACGCAGCAGCTCCGATGCTGCCGGAGCAGTGATCAGGTGGCGCATGGCAGCAATATCACGCTCGACAATCAGTTCGTCAACACTGGACCACCCCAGTTCGCGAAGTAAAGGCGTGACATGATCGCGACGGTTGAGACCAGCAACAATGCGAACACCAAAGTTTATGACTTTTTGGATGCGCCTTTTCTGGGATGAATTACAGTTGGCCCAGACGGTAATGCAATACTGTAGATGTGGGAAGACGAGAGCTTCTACTAAAAGCCGTTTGGTACATTTCGGCAGTTTCTGACGCGCTCTTGCTAAACCCACTAAGACACAGTAGCAGCGACGAACGATAGACGAGACGATCGTTGTGGGTCGTTGTGCCGCGGAACAGTCCAGCGTGCCTTACAGAAAGGGTCCATTTTTTACATTGGTTTTCACGTCTTCAAATGTTAACCAGTGTCGGGTATCCGGTGGACAACATCTGCTGGGGGGGGGGTGTTTGATCCCGCGCCCTGCTGGGGGGTGTTTGAACACCCCCCTTGTGGTTTGTCGCGAATATCTCAAAAACGGCGGCGCGGAGCGCCGCCGTTTTTGGTACACCTTATTATACATCAATTCTACACATGTTGTGAAAATTTCAGACCAAGGTCATTCAAGGTCAGGTCACCAAGTCACTTGAAGTGACCTCACCTCATAAAAACTTTCAATGTCTGTCATAGCTACACTGAGTGACCGATCGCTTTGAAACTTTCAGAATTGCTAAGAGCAATAGCATGTACAAAATGATTATCTCAGAATTTTGATATCGATGACCTAAGGTCAGGTCAATTTTGCGACCTCCCCATTATAAGTCAATGGGAGAAAATTGAAATGCGCCTCTTTTGGATGAAAGACATTATAAACACTCCCAAAAAACCGAATTACAAGTGGTTTAGACACACTGAACTTGAAAATGGTGTCCGTGACCCTTGTTTATGCCCTGAGGTCATCTTAGGTCACGAATGGTATCTAACAGTTTTTCGCAAATAACTTTTGATAGAGGCATGCTAGAGCGATGAAAACGCCTTAGATGTGTTCAGCTCGACGATACGGATCGACTGATATGCAACATGACCCTTTCCGGTCAGGTCATGACCTTGACCTGAGGTCAAATTTTCAAGTTGACCTTTCAAGGTCAAGTTATAGTTCATTCGATGCGTCTTGACGAGAGGAACACGATGCCGGTAAAAGTAAGCTCGTACAAGGCTTGGATCAAAATTTATTGCAGAAAAACTGTTTTCGAAAAAATCGGCTATTTTTGCAGTTTTTGCCCCCTGCAGGCAAAACCGTTGACGTTAGGTCAAATCTGAGGGAATTATTCAGAAAGGGCGTTAATAGGGCTATCGAATGCGCTTTTTCGCGGCGCTGTAGCTCTATTGGTTCCCGAGTTACGCGTTGGCTTCTTGGAAATTTTCGACATTCGACCTGGAAATCGGCGAAATTTTGCCTTCAATGACCTCTGGTGACCTGACCTTTGACCTGACCAAAAAATTGACTGAAGTGATTTCGTCATTATTTTTTACGCTCTTTCGAACGCCGCCTTCCGCGTATCGCTACGTGGCCCAGGAGCCGAGTTACAAGGGGGGGGGGTGTTCAAACACCCCCCCCCCCCCAGCAGGGCGTGGAAATCCAGGACCCCCAGCAGGGCGCGGGTTAAATTCGTGAATGGTTCCGAACTCCGAGACATATTTCTTGCTGACTAATAAAGTTTTGTTACATCTCGATTTTCGCTTGAAAGCACAAAAAACCTACATTTCCCCCCGCGTGAAATCATAAAGAAGCGCCAAAGCCAAGCCATATCAAGAACAGGTTCATTTGTCACAATCTTATTCAGCATTCTTATCAAAATTTCGATTTTCATTGCAATGTGCAGTGTGAAGGTCCGAACACTGCACATAATATCACCAAGGCTTTGATCTTGCGGTTCGCCTGTCTACGCAGGACATCTCCTCTGCAATATCTCCTCACATATCGAGCCGGCGGCGCTAGCCGAGCCCTGAGGGCGGTTGTTTTTTTAGTTTGAAGTCGCTCGTCGGACCGTTCTCAGAACGGCGGCCCACGGTCACACGGATTGTCTCCCGAGGTTAAGGTCGGATTAGTGCGTTCCGCCGCCTGCTTTGATCGGCTTTTTCCGTCCCAAGATCTGATTGAACCTGTTGGTCCGCGAGCTAGGTATCCGATATGTGCTGTCTGTGATTGGAAAACAGGCAGTGTTTCATAAAAATCGGGATACGAAAATATAATTCAATTATAGAAGGTGCTTTGAGGAAATATAATTCAATAACGAACAGGCTCCCGTTCTGTTCTAAGCGCTTCTTTCGCTCCCACCATATTCAAACTCGCTAACAAAAAGTTCAATAAACCCTACCATGGGACCTCTACACGATGTCCTTCACGTGACTCATATCAACCGGATATCGGCTTGAAACTCAATAGACTTCATCCTACGACGCATGACCTTGGGCTGGGCAGTTGATGGCCTGGATGCCGGACCTAAAAAAGCTACGCAGCAGCTATGCGGGGCAACTTCGAAGGGCTAAGCCGTCGGCCTTCTACATTCTAGAGCGCTACATATTTTACATTCAAAGGAGCATCTTCTGGCATTCACGCGGTATTACAATTAAATGCCCGCAACAAGACACTTTGATGCTGCCCAACTCTTTATGTTAAAATACCATCACATACAATAACGACGTCATATTTCTGCAGTATTGACGCCGCAAAAGGTCGCAAGCTGCCTATGCTCGAGGACGGTAATGATGTCACGCTATCGCGAACTAAGCATGGTAGCTCTCGTCGCCGCTCAAAATAGTCTTCCTCTGCGTGTGATGTGGAAACATTTGTGGAAACATTTGTGAAACAAACGCGTATCGCATCCTAAGCAGTCAGTGACGCATGTTCCCTTTTGGTTAGATGGGATCTGCCATCGCTTCATACATGTAGAGGCATAGACATCTGCCTAATAATCGTGATTCCATGGGATTTGTGATGCGTTCTGCCAAAGATTCGCTGCGCGTTTTTTTTTTTTGTCAATTGGATCATTTAGTTAGTTGGAACTTGGATTACGTGCCACTAAGTGAAAATTATGCGCTCCACAAGATTCGGTGCATGATATACATTTATACATATATGTATTATGAAATTAAAATCCAGCGCTTAGTTTTTCATTAAGGTAACTTCGTTATACCGTTGGCGGAAGTTGGGTCGCTCCAGATCATCACAGCAAGGCCAGAAGACAACGGTCAGCGTTCGATACACGGTAATCAATGACAGGCTTCGAGGCGCATGGACGATATTAGCGTGAAGTAGGTGCATCCACATTTTATATATGAAAGAAAACGGCTTATAGGCCTACTTGTAGTTGAGGAAGCTTAGAAGAAGTCATATCATTCAAGCGCTTCGCTATTCTTGCATCAGAATGCCTTACACGTTGACTGCTGAGATTACCGTGTACCACACAGATCATAGGAGCGCTAACGAATAAACAGCAGCACAAAAAGAACAAGTTGTCATGATTGATAAAACCATAGTATACAGAGGTATATGATAAAACTAAGTTGTTACGTGGCATACGTATTATGCATGACCAAGAATATGAATGCGCTATCAAACAAGTGATATCAAATAATAGGCCGGTTAGAATGGGCAGATTAAAACAATAAAAGTAAAATTAGGGCCCACTACTCCTATGAATCAGTTGCATTGCGCTAAAAATGTACTTCTAGTGTATGAAAGATATATCAATAGCTTGGTATCGGGTAGTGCGGCATTCAACCCGTGGCGCGGCAATAGCAGCATGAATGAGCAGACCGCTGTATTATTTACTCATTTATCGAATCAAGTGGCATCCATAGATCAGCCTTTCGCCGCCTTGTGGGGCTCATGACCTTTGTTTGCTTTATTTCATTTTATTCTTATTTCGTTTAGCCTTCAGCAGAACCGACATCAATCTGTGGTGTATCTTATCCCGCGCCCTGGTGGGGTCTGTTTATAACGCGACCTGGTGGGGGGGGGGGGGGGCTATTATTTGCCCCCC